TAATAATAATAATAATAATAATAATAATAATAATAATAATAATAATAATAATAATCATCATCATCATCATCATCATCATCATAATTATTATGAACCACTATTGAAATATATTTTCACAGTTTTAAGTGCAATTACTATAAATCATCTTTTTTTTTTTTTGTTGCACTTTTACACATGAAACCATATCGATAGAATTGCAATCTTATTACTGCACAATCTTGTTGCTTTTATAAATTAATAATTTAGATAATTATTGTAAGATACATATTACATACCACACACACTTGAAGAAACCGAAATGCCTACAAAGTTTTAGCTAATTAGGAATCTAACATGACAATGAATAATGTTGTTCATAAAGAAAGGGGGAAAGTAAAAAAGTATTGTTCAGTTTTAGAAACACAAACACAAGAAGCTACATTCTAACAGCTGTTTATATCCATAAAAACACAAATGATATGATGAATTGCAGAACATGCTAACCAGTGATCCCAGTTTTCACATAGAGCTGCTCAAAGCAACACTATGTTATAAGATCTAAAAGGCCTCTGATAAGAAGGCCACATACCGGCAATTTAGCACCCAATAAAATCTCACTGCCAAGGCTTATGGGGTTGCAACTGATTTGATTGTAGCATGTTGTTTGCTGGAGAAGATTTCCCGAATATATCCATGGCCCGCATCCGTTGCATCTCATTGCCTGCAAAACAAAAGGCATATAAAAGCCTTAAACAGTGATATACAACACAAAACTGGCCAATCAAATCTAACAACTTATTTATTCCTAGCAGATCATGAATATGTTTGACATCAGAATAAAAATTCACTAAATTATATGCATTCATCGGGTTTCGATAACAACAATGAACGAACAGCTTGCTAAATTTTGTGTAAGCAGCTAGTGAGTACACACTAATATTTAGCGTGAATGCGAAATTCAAAAATTCATGAAATTACATTTACCTCAACAATTTTGGACCCACTAATACTTAAAAAGTAAGAGTAGTAGCACAAATCATATGGACGAATTATGGCCACAGACGAAGATGTCAGTAAGTTGAGCCGTGAACATAACAAAATCAGACCCAATTAATACAGACTTTTAGGCTCATAACCATATCATTTAGCTTCATTTGGCATTGTCACGAAAATCTTATTCGGTAGCTTCACTGCACATAACTCAAGTTTCATCAGAATAACAAATCATTCTCCATTTCTGTTGCCTTTGCAAGCTAACATGCCTAAACAAATTATGAGGAAATGTCATACAATTATATGTAAGTAACAGAAAAGTCGCAAGGAAACAAACAAATGCCAGCAAAATACAGGTCTCCACACCTTCCTCAATAGTCAACTGGATCGCCCTTTTTTCCAACTCCACGGCATGCTTGCTAAGCTCAGAAGGGGGCAAATGCAGAAGCCCTGGATGCAAATCATCAGACCAAACACAACACCATTTAATACAACCATCAAAACATAGCAAAACAGGGTGAAAACAAAACCACGGAGACTAAAAAACTAAAGAGACTCACTCTGAGTGTACTCTCTTTGACTTGTCTCATCGCATTGCTTAAGAAACTTCTGGAGTCGAACAAAACGCTCGGCTCTCACCTGCTCACCCATCACTTTCGCCTCAACTACACGGGAAACCTCTGCATCCTTAGCAGAACCCACCTCACCGCCATTACCTTGCTTAACTGAAGAAACGGGAAGTGAAGAACCATTGCTCGGGAAAGCCAAAGCTGCTGTCAGATTACCTGATGTGTTCACCGGTGCACGATTACCACTACCAACATTCCTCATCTGAGGGGCTTCCTGCCTCGGTTGATCCCCCACATTCTTCAACTCCGAGAACCTCTCAATGTTGTTTTGAAGCCTCCCCCGGCCCAGCTCCAGCTCGAACCTCCTGCGTGCATTCATCACATTCTGATTGGTCCCATTGTTGTTGTTGTGGGCCAACGACGGGAGGCTGTGGGGGGCCGGAGCGCGCTCGGGCGTGAGACGCTTGGTCCCACAGACCTTGATAGAATCTCCGTTCGGTTTCCCCACAAGTAGGCTCTCATGCTGCTTTGGGGTTGTTCCTGCATTTTCGTTCTGCACGTCCCGGAGTGCAGTCTTTTTGGGAGCAGATGGTGGCTGCTTGTCATGGGCGGGTGGGGTCATGTTGCCGCCGGACGCCAGGAGGCCATTGTTGCTGTTTCCGGCGTTGATCATTAATGGATGTCAGTCGAGGTGAGCACGCTCGGGAAATCCGGCCGGGGGAGCTGTTAAGAAGGGAAATGGGATTATGATGTTTCTTACAGTTAAGAGTCCTTACACAGAGAACTTACAGTGACAATCAATCACTGAGCACATACAATTTATCACTGAAAATTTAAAGATTTTCCAGAAGTTTTCTACTCAGCACAACATAGGCAGCTTATTCCAGTTTAACAAACTAATACACAGTTTTTTTTTTAAATAAAAAATAAAATAAAAAAACAAGGAAAATTAAAAGATGCTACCAAACGAGCTAGTACAGATAACAAACTACTGCGTTTAAGCTTCGACCCCAAAATTGAGTACAATTTTGAAGGGAAACGGCATGGAATTCGATAGGAACAACAATTTATTTGCGGGACAAAGAAGAAAAAACTTAGAAATGCACATTTGCAACACATCAATCCGAAAGACTAAAAATGACCTTGCTCGAGATTAGTAATAAAATCGAGAAAAAAAAAAAAG